TTTCTGGCATTCCCAGGACTTGAGGTTCTGTGTGTTTCATTGTTCATCTTGTCACTTTGGGCTATATAATTCACCCCTGAAATTCCACCTGTGACAGAAGACACGTTAGGCAAACCTAGAGGCTCCACGCATATTGCTTTATCCTGGCAGGGCTCACTTGATCTGGTCAAGATGTTCACTTTTAACTCATCATCCTCGGGAATAGATACAAGATGATTCATATCAGATTCCTCTTGAGCAGGTTGAAAAACAGCCGATTCTGGATTAATCATGTCAATATCTGTTGGGTTCTCAACCAGTACAACTGCTTGACTGTCAGCACAATCTCCTTCAGAATAAGCATCAGCATCACAAGAAGAACATTTTGAAGCTCCCAGCATTGGCTGGGTTTCTTGCTGGTAGGAACTAGAAAGAGCTTGTAATCTTAAAAAATAGTTCACAGTGATTTTAAGGTTATCTTCAATCACTTGCAAGACCAGATCTTCCCACAATGCTCTTGCAGAAGAAGTCCACTCCTCAAGCTTTTTAAAATCCGGTTTCTCCCGCAGATCATACCATATTTGCTTCACAGACACAGGAACATACTGCTCTTGCTCATATTCTTCAACCAATTCGAGAAAAAGCCAGGTTCCACGAGGATGCCAAGTTTCTGTAAACTCATTCCAATCCTGTGTAATCCTCATTGAGTCAACACCAATAGTCATTTCGTCCCCTAAATCTGGGAAGAATATCCTCCGCTCCTCCAGACCATCTCTGCGGTCAAAAACCACACCTTCCCACCAGGCATCCTGGTAATACACATCCACGCATAGGCCATAGGAAAGGTCCCATTTACCAAACTCCAATGGAGGTGGCACAGGCCTTAGACATCCACGATAATTACAATGATTCATATTGACACAACTACTGCCATCTACAATAGCTGAAACACCCACAATATCGACAAGAGTCTGAGAACCATCATCTGTAAGGAGATGATCGTATTTGACATGGCGAACTTGCTTATCAAATGCAATGACGGTTCCTGAATGCCAAGAGCCAAGAAAACCATCCTCAACACTCCTTACCTGG